GTACGCTCCGTAATCGCTCGCAGCTTACGGCAACCACTTGTACTGCTCAGGAGGAACCAAGCACACCTTTCGGTACACTTTGGTGGGGGCTCAACGCGAGCTTCCACTACTGAAGGGATCGCTGGCTCCAGCTTGGGAAATGCTATCGAGATGGGAAGCTGTGGAACCGGTCGTGCACCGGACGCCGTTGCCTGAACCGCTGCTCAAAGCGATGGTCACTCTGAGCTGGCGCAAGGGTTTCAGGCGGGCGTGTTCGCTCCTGGCGTCTTACGGGATGGCCCGTGTGCGCGAAGTTCTGAAGAGCCGGCACGAGCACTTGATGCTTCCCGCGGACATGTTCTACAACGTGGGGGCCGTCTTCTTACGCCTGGAGGCTTCCAAGACTTCGCTCATTGGAAGGCCGAAAGTACAGCACATTCGGGTGGACGACGAGGATGCCATCGCCCTGATCGTCATCGCTTTTGGCGGTCTTGGACGGCACGAACACTTGTTTCCTCTGAGCCCTTCTGCCTACCGTTCGCGCTGGGATAATGGGCCTGGAGGGCCTGGTCGATGTTACGCCTGGAGGTTTGCGCGGCGGTGGTTCCGTCGCGGCCTACCACCGCGGAGGTGCCATCACAGACATTCAGTGGAAACTTCCTCTCAAACACAGGGGCACCTTCGAGCACTACCTCCAGGAGGTGGCAGCCGTGGCTGCTTTGGATAGCGCCTCGGAGGACTCGAAGCTTCTGATTCGCTTTGCTCTGCAACTTTTCCATGTCTGAGACACGGCTCGTGACGTCGCTACTGCAGTCTTCGACCCCAGTGCAGCTCCGAACGCGGCTGCTGCCTTTTCTTTCGCAGTCTGGTTTTCGGGATGAGTGGAACAGGCAAGCTTTCGATACAGTCACTTGAAATTTGCTGAGGCCTCTGTGCTAAAGCACTCCTTTCTACAGCTGTTTGCTGCTCCGCCGACACGCTAAAGCGGCGTGACACGTACTTGTACCAGCAGCGGCGAAGACCAAAAACCGGCGACAGAGTGGGCTTAAACATGTCCCACCATGTTTCAGGAACGTCGGAGGCTGGAAGCTTTTTCGGCCCTCCCTCCCGCCCTGGAACAGGCAAGCTTTCGATACAGTCATTTGAAATTTGCTGAGGCCTCTGTGCTAAAGCACTCCTTTTTACGGCTGTTTGCTGCCTCCGCCGACACGCTAAAGCGGCGTGACACGTACTTGCACCAGCAGCGGCGAAGCCCAAAAACAAGCGACAGGGTGGGCTTAAACATGTCTTTGGTTTTGTATTGGCAGTGGTGGTTTCGACGACCTGACAGTGCCCTGCTTCTGCAGCTTTCAGTCTTAAAACGAAGCAATGCAGATCAGCTCTTAGAGCTGTGTTGATATCCAGCGCGATGGTCGTGTTGACGTGCCGCTGGTGGCTCGCGGTGGGCAGCTTGGCCACCGCCGTCGCCTTCAAGGTATCTGTTTGGATCAAACATATTTTCTTGGCGGTTGCTTCGGAAGGGAGCTGTTCGTCTCGTGTGCTGGGCATGTCTGTGTGTGCTGGGCATGTCTGCAGCGTGTCTTGCATAAACGTTATCGGCATGCAAGCTTGTTCCTTCATCTCTCAGATGTCGCAGATTGAGATATCCTGATTTGCTTCGGAAACCTTCGTCGTGATCGGCAGGTTGCCGAAGCATCAATGGAGATCGTCAAAACCGACAACGAGACCCTCAAGAAGGAAGTGGAGGGGATCGCGGCGAAGAACATGGAGGCAGAGTTCAAGGAAATGAATGACATCCCGAATCCTGCGAACTTCACGCTGAACGGAAGCATGCCAAATGCCTCCCAGGGTGTCTGGGCCGATCAGCGACACAAGAACCCCTTTTTGCGGTACCTAGGCCCTTGTCATTCCGGCCCGTAACTTTTGCCAAGGTGTTGGTGAGCTTGGGAAGAGCTTCGAGTTCATGATGCTGAAGCTGGCACAGCTTGAGACGCTGTGCGAGTTGCAGCAGGCTGAGCTCGAAACATTGAGGAAGACGGTGAAAGGTCTTGCCGAACATGTGGATCACCCGGACAGCGTGGCATCTTTGGTGCAGAAAGACGAGAAAGCCAGAATGCAGGAGACCCAGCAAACCCTGAAGAGGGTGCTCGCCAAGCACGCTCAGCAGCACAAGAACAAGGACTTCCATCCAAAGGCTTCTCGGCAAAACTACCGCCCCGCCGACGCCAAGCCAGAATCCCCGAAACGTGCCACCGAAGCTGGGGCGAGTGACCGAGCCGAGCTGCTGGCAGGAGGAGCCCGGCAGTCGGGGAGCAAAGGCTCGCAGAGGATTTTCGGTGAGGTCGCTCGCTGGGCCGGGGACCGCATTGAGGCAAGGACAGGGTTTCTGAAGGCATGTTTTGTGGTGAGCGAAGCAATTTCGAGACGATGTGCAGTCTTTCGTTTTCTCTCGTTGTTGAAAGAGACTACGGGCCACGGTGAAGAATAGTGTCAAGCCGGGCTGGTGGTCCTGAACGTGTAGAGGGTCAGTCACTCCCTGGCTTCGGAACATATTCCACGATATCCTTGATGCTGCCGGAATGCATAATCCTTCAAAAGCAAGCACAGAGGGAGAACTGACTTGACGGGCCCTGGATCCTTCACTCGGCTCTGTGACCTTCACACCTCAATCCCCTAGGCAATTGTGCAATGATGTTCAGGATATCTATATGCAGGATACCCGTTTCAGCAGCATTTTTTCGCTTCTTAGCATGCCACTCACAACTCAGCAATATGAGTCTGAGTTTCCGCCAAGTACACCCTCCCCAGACAAACCCAATCCACAGAAGCCCAGAGATGCAAACCTCAGCTCTCCCAAAGCGCAACCTCCCAGCCCAAGTACGAGGATGTCCAAAGCATCGCTGAGAGCACAGCGGATGCCTACTCGGCAGCCACTGACAAGGTGGCCTCCGCTTCTTCGGATTTGCTTCAGGAATTGGAGGCTCTCGACTCTAGGGGCTGGTCGTTTTTTTCTTTTGGCGCCGCAAAGGTGGCCTTCATTGCCAATACGGCGATTGACACCGTGGAGATGGCCGTGGCGATCCTTCTGAAAGGCTTCAGCGATTGGGGCGCCGACTGCGAGATCAGCGGACCCAGCATCAGGGACTACATCGAAGAATGTGAGATTACGGGCTCCCGAGAGCAAAAGTTTGGCTGGTTCGGGACAATCAGCGTCCCCATAATCGAGTGTAGACAAAGGAGTGTCCTGATGGCGCTTGACTGGGGTCGGCAGAAGTGTAAGATCAGCCTGATGGGCCAAGAGATTACGCTTTTCGACTTCAACTTTGGGTCCCTTGAAATGACGTGGCCGGCTCCAATTGAAACAGCTATCGACATCGGCACAGGGCTGAGCAACTGTGGTGATGGCAACATCTTCACGTGCCTGGGCAGCAAGATCTTGAACCACATCACGTGGCCCGACAAGTTGAAGAAGGTTGTCGATGGCAACGTCCAGGATCTGCTGCCCGATAAACTGCAGAAGGTTGCTGATGGCAATGTCCAGGATCTGCTGCCCGATGAACTGAAGAAGGTTGCTGATGGCAATGTCCAGGATCTGCTGCCCGACAAACTGAAGAAGGTTGCTGATGGCAATGTCCAGGATCTGCTGCCCGATGAACTGAAGAAGGTTGCTGATGGCAATGTCCAGGATCTGCTGCCCGACAAACTGAAGAAGGTTGCTGATGGCAACATCCAGGATCTGCTGCCCGATAAACTGAAGAAGGTTGTCGATGGCAAAGTCCAGGATCTGCTGCCCTCGCAGATGAAGATTACTTTACCACATCGGATGGGAGCTGAAGGACACCTGCAAGGGCACGCCCAACCACAAACATGTGACGGCGTGCCTTGCCAGATCGCTCACGAAGGTAGGGAAGCTG